TTATGTTTCGAGGTAATCTAAACAACTGATTTTCTAAAACAGTGATTATTAGTAATTTATTGTTTAAGGAATATTTCTATCTGGAGTACTTTGCTTTGACTACAACTTTGTTGTGATGGAATAACTGTGACCTTTTTACCATACCACCAAATGTAGTTTACTTAGGTAATCATGTCTTACGTACAGGTCACTTTAGCCACCTCTATATCGTGTGTTCTTCTGATATTTATAAATTCTAACTCATGACTAGGAAGTGAGCTGGTTTATGATGTGTGTCCTAGAGTATGTAGTGTGTTGAATACAAAGTCCACCAAGATGGCTACTTTTGAACATTTTGACCATGTGACCCTATTTGACTTTGAACACAGTTGTGTAGATTTAGCATGATCATTGCATTCATGTTCAAATCACATTTATAAACTCAATTCAAGCCATAAACTTCAATGTATGTAGAGGTATCAATAGATGATAAAATTCAATGTAATAAACCGGCAATAGGCCTTTTTAAAAATAGCACCATGCTCAGCCAAACTGTTCTATCATAAAGAATTGTGAGTTTTTTTCAGTGTAAAATCCCCATAATTCTTTAAAATAGAACCGTTTGACTGAACCGTGAACTCAATGCTATCCTCAAAAAGGTCTATTGGCTCAGTTTGTTAAAGATTTTTTTCCCATTTTTATGGCGACTGGTTATGTTTGGTTATGAGTTTTTATACATACTTGTATATGTAACTGCTGTATGTTAATGATCACAAATTCAGTAAAATAAAAGTTGTTTTGTAACTGTCTAAAAATATGAATCCTGAAACAATAATAAATGTATATACCAATCAACATTTTCAAAATAGCACCATGATGTATAACCTACTAACTTTATGAGGCTCAGTTTGAAGTTGGGACAGTTAGCTAAATGCATAAGAAAACCTTCAATCTTCTTATTTCCATTGCAGGATGTGTTTTTGATGATCCGTCGTAAGAAAAGTACCATCTTCACTGATGCCAAAGAAACAACAACCGTATACGAGTTAAAGAAAATAGTAGAAGGCATCACTAAGAGACCACCTGAAGACCAACGATTACATAAAGATGAGCTGATTCTAGAAGACACAAAAACATTGGGGGATTGTGGTTTTACTAGCAGTACTGCTAGAGCACAGGCACCAGCAACAGTAGGATTAGCCTTTAAAGAAGGTAAGAATGCTGCGGTGGTTTACATGCAGGTGCTCAGACAATGTGTTTGCCACTGTTTTACAGTATGTATTGCTGTATTGAACAACAAAAGATTAAATACCAATCAGCATTCTTAGCTTGTTACTAACAGAATTGTGGACCGTGAATTAAATGCAGTTAACAACCCAAGATCTATCATCAGCACTTGACAGTGTGACCATTTGATGTGTGCATTTGCCAGTGTACAAACCTGTAGCCAAACTGAAATCAGTCATTTGAGCTACGTGAAAGGATTTCCAACAGCAGTGATTAGAATGTTGCATCATAATAATTCAGGAATAGTAAATGTGCCAGGCAGTGTGAATACTATGTCAAAATAAATGGCCAGGTCAGGGTTGTCCAGGTACCATTTTTTTTAATCAACAGCCTTGTGACAAACCAGACCTGCATTTCTCTTGTGGAGCAAGTGTTGGATTTTACTTTTTACTCAACAATGCACCAAGCATTACATCATTTCTTAGTAAACTTAGATATCCATTCTACACCAGATCTGGGTCTATTTTTGGCTACTAGTATGTCACATGTCTAAACAATATTCTTGGTGTGTGGTTTTTTTGGGATGAAACAGCACAACCCACTCAAATCCCACTAACACTGGCTTCTATTCAATAATCAATACTCCCCATGTTAATTATGTTTTGAATTTATGTTGGTTTATATTCATATTATTCACTTTTGGTGGGTACATGACATCTTTCAGTTACATACCTCTCCTCTAATTAGTGTATTGTATAAGCCCCCTCCACACACGCACAATATCATTAATTAGTATATATTTATATAGAACAATCTTGATTATAGTTCTTTATGTCTTTAACTTCTTTGAGGTATTATTAGTAAGACCGATTATGATCAGATGCCTCTTCTTGGTGTAGCTTCTGCTGTGGCTATATGCACAACTTTGAGTACAGGTACTGTACTTTTCAAATCAATAAAAGACGTCATCACAAGAAACTAGTGCGCTCAAAACCATTCAAATTGTATTCAAACTGCCAGGAATGTTGAACTCAGCTCAGTGCACACCACCAGGACAATTGAAAAATGGGGTAAAAAAGCTAATTATTAAATACTCTTCCAATCCATATTATTTTGAAGACATTGTAAGAGCGGAGATCCCCAAGCCATTTTCACAATGGCAAGGCCTGGGTTCAGTTCACTCATTTACCTACAGAATATTAGATACAAAGTGTAGTCAATAAACAGTGTTGTAAATATTTTGATACAATGCAGTGTTCTGTGAAGGCCTTTCAAGCATCACATAAATTTGGGTCAGTGCATATGTTTAAAAAAATGTAAATTAATAAAAAACATACACACCTCTGGATTATTGCTAGTGAAACACAAAAGGTATATGTCAATTCCAAATGCTTTACAAGGTGATACTGTAAGTCTTTCTCATAAGTAGAGATTCTGTTAAATTATCAGAGGCAAAAAAGATTTTAAGAAATGTAGATACATGTCATTCTAAAACAAGAAATGTAGCATTAACTTGATAACCACTGGACTATGATAATGGCCGGTAGATGTGCATTGGAAACAAAGGAGAAATGCGTGCACTATGACGCAGCAGTAAATCGAGACAATACATTTTGTATAACCTGCACAAACTGTTTATTTACTTCTAGTGTGGGGCCCATATATATCGCTTGTAAAAAATACTGGCTTAAAACTGGCTATGATAAAAATCACACATGGAAGAGTTTCCTCATTAAATCATGCTTTCATTTTGTTTGTTGTTATCCTCTACTGCACATAAGCAATGCATCTTGTATAGTAACTACATGCATGGTTTTATTAATACAATTACCGGTACATTAATTTTAAATCAAGAAAACATGACAGTGTAGATGCATGAAGTTTATAGATTACTGGTATATAAAGAAAAATGCTAACTAGTATACAAATTAGCCACAGCACTTTAATTTGTTTGTAGGGAGAACACTGCAATGTTCTTATTGTAACCATAAAAAAAGAAAGTCAAAGTCACACACAGCTTAATTGATTGTAAGAATATTTACTGCTAATGGTCAGGAATAAGATTCATTTTTGATTTAATGAAGAATAATAATAATTTGTCTCAGACAACAACTTTTGTCTTTGTGCAACCAAATATGAAAAGTGGTTCTCCTTTGGGAACAACTGTGACAATAAATGCAGAAATCACAATATTAAGCATACAATGTTAGTTCACTGTACTATTATCAGATTTCAGCTTGTTTTGGGCAATTGCATGAAAATCCACCAGATTCTCACATGACTTTGTAGCTGGCAACAATTACAGGTTTATTCAGGTCTTGTCTTTTGAAAATGGCTCTCCTAAACAAGGTAACACAAGTGATTAGAGGGGGTACGTTATTACCGTAACCTTTTGGGTGACAGATATTTTTCTTGCCCAAAATTCAGTGCAAATATTTTATTGTTCTGTAAAATTTTCACTGAATTTCATCATTATTTTGTACCATACAGGCAGTTTCGGATATTTTTTAGTTTTTGATCAAAAGGTTTGTCATTTTTTAATTAACATTTCATGTGGGGAGGAGTAGACTACAGACTCATTTTGTAGATGGTGTCAAAAGTTGATGATGGCACTCAAAGTTCAAGTCTCTTAAAAATGGTATGGATTGGGAGAGTTATAATTAGCTCTTGTGGGTCTTGATTTGAGTGAGTGGAGGGATCTTCTTAGAAAGTAAGGCCTGTTGTTTATTTTGTGAAAGATGATGACAAAATTTTACTTTAAAATGCATGTAGCTAAAGCTTTATTTACCTGAATTTTCAGAGTAGTTGTCCCATCAACAACAACAACCGTATTTGACTCCCTGCATATACTCCCTATGGTATCGCCAATAGTGTTTTCCCATAGAATGACAGCTTGGTCTTTGTGTATTTTCATTTTAGGAGAGGAAGATTTTGAACCACTGGAAGTTACACCATACTCCAATCCACCAGAGTTACCAGATGTTATGAAACCACAAGAATCTAGTACATCAAATGCAGCAGAACAGCCAGTCTCTTAAATCATGCAATCCCCCTTTTTGTTTCAGATCTGCAAGAATACGTGGTAGCATCGAATGATGCACCCAACTTCAAGCAACCAAGGTCATTATGTAAATGTACTACAGCGTTTCAACTTTTTCAACATTTTCTCTCATCAAAAGGTTGAAATTAGAAATCTTAGTATTGTATCCAACACTGCCCCTTTTCTTGATTGTTGTAAATTCTTGTTTTGCACATATTATTCCCAACCCCTTCTGTTATATTCCAGTTCAAATACAGATCTAACTTAATGACAATTTTTAAAAACTATTCAACGCTTCCTGTAGAGGGTTGGTCTTTAATCTCCTTGGTTGCTGCTAGTCATGTTTTAGAAAATCACAAATGTCAAAGACTATTTAAAGGCAGAAATTTAGTGAACGTTTGTAAAATTTAACTATGTTTCAATAATTGAGAACTATTTTTATAAGTTTTGTGGAGTCTCTGATTATTTTTTGCAATATGTGGTAAAAATGACAAGCCCAAATCGAATGGGCTCTGCACTTTCTCTCTACAATATGCCTCGAGGGAAATGTTAGAGACCATTGTTGGAATAGTTTTTTTTTTTTTTTTTTTCTTATCTAATGATATATAATTTAAAATCAAATTTGCTAGACTAATGATTTACCATTTTTGTGTTGCTTGCAATTGGTGTTTTGATCACATTTCTTTAGGAATTTGTACGAGTGCATTTTTTGTTCTCACTTCAGGGCAAGTATTTTTTTCAACATTGTGGAACTTTTAAGTGGTGCTTAGTAGGGCTAATAGAGCTTTTAGAATCACTCTAAATATTTAAAAAAGAAAACCATAATATGTCAAATTTACTTCAGTGTCAGCCACTTTATGGGCATATACTGCAAATATACATTTTCAATAACGATATTGTTGTGAGGTGTAGTACAAAAAAATAAATTTCTCAGTGATAACATTTTTCTTTTAGAAGACGAGAAAAACATTGTCTGTGATCTTATTTTTTTTTGTATTTAGCAACTATTTATTTGAAAACCTAATTTTCACTTAACTCCATACTGTAACAATTTTTGTTGTTATTCCCCCAAAAAACTCCTTATTTCAAAATGAGGAAATCGCCTCCACATATTATAAAGTGACCTGACAAAGTCATTTTCGTCCACCATGGTACCCAGTCCTGATCCCTGACCGTTTCAGAAGTGCTTATGTGAGGGAGTACTTTGTCAGACTCTTGTTTTACTGCAAAACATTTGTAATATTTTTTCCTGTGTATTTTGGATCATAAATGTATTCAGACATTGATTACACCATTTCTGCAACAAGCTAAATAAAGAAATCTGTACATACATACAGTTAAAAAAAAATGATGTTTTGTTTCTATATATATATACATACACACACACACACACACATCTGTGCAAGCCAACACTTCATGTGCACGTTTATATTTACATAAACAGTTTCATTCATACTACTGTAGAAACATCTTCTCCATCTAAAAAGTTAAAATCTAAGAATAAAGATAGAAAACATATCTAACAATTAGAGAAAGTCTTTGAAAATGCTTGAGTATACATGTACTTGAGATATTTTGGATAAATTCATTAGCGACAAGCGCCAGCAAGTAACACTACATTATCACTTACCATCGATGCAAGGGCCGAGCCATCATAGTCACCAAGTAGGTTTCTGTAAAACTAGTACACGAATGTTGACAAGTCTGTTGCTAAGTATAATCTGGTAAGGAATGTTAATTGGGTTGATAGAGAGTCAGGGAGTGCTTGAGTCAATCTTCGTCAGACCCAAGTAGGTCGCTAACATACATTGTCAGAATATAGCAACAAGGATACTGGAGGTGAGGAGTCTTGGGGTAATATATAGAAATTAGATTACACAAAGACTGGTTTCACAACTTGACAAAGGATTGGGAGTTATTTGCTTTGACTTCTTTAAAATCAAGCCGTAAAAATTGAACCTCACGATCAGAGCGTTGTAACATTGCTGTTCCATTGCCATAGGTTGTTGAATCATTTATTGGGTCACTGATAATTTTAAAAGTACAAAGAGAGCTATTTAACCATTGGACACTGCTTACAAATAGGAGCATCACTATTGCATTTATGCTGATTTGTCCACCCCAAATCTTATGATGCCATAACATTGATGGAACCAGAGGTGCCTTTTTTATCATAGGGAGATTGTTTGACCTTGGGAGACAGCACAGTGTGACATAAGTTTTTGGACTAGTAAGTCAGGAAGCTGGACGATAGTACATGTAACTCCTTGAGGGCGCTGTCCTACATGCTGGATGTGGTAGGTGTATTGCGTGTCAACTACACTAAGTTTAATACTGTGGAATACTTTATTTTCGCTGGAATTAATTTTCGCTGAAAAGGCCTTTTGGGCGTTTTGTATGGAATTTATTTTCACTGATTTTTGATGAGTTAATGTGAAATATAGGAAAAAAAAGTATATTCGCTGGATTTTATTTTCACAGAATCTTCCCTTCAGCGAAAATAGCGAAAATAAATTCCAAGCAAAAATAAAGTATTCTACAGTAGCTTACTATTTCTGATTTAAAGGCTGCTACTGATAGGGCAATCATTGTCAATGCAGTGACAGGGAGTGTTTTTGAACCTAGTGTGGTGAACCTAGTTACCTGTAGATATGAATAGTCCCTTCAGGATTACAGCACCCACCAACGACAGGCTAGTCATGTTGTGGTCGTGGAGGTCAATGTCACTGTGGGTAACAACATGGCACCATAATGTTTTTAAGGAATTGATAAATGAGTTTTCTCCTAATACAATAAATATGGTATTCCACACAGGAGCTGTTTCTAAGGTTTCTTTGATTTTTGCTATTTAAGATGTCGCTAATTTGAAAGAAAGTATATTCTCACAATGAGAATTGTAGATATCTTAGCTAAATTTAGATTCTATTTCATGTTTTGAGTCAAATTTGCTTTAATGGCATGCTAGTATTCAAAAGGAGGCACTTTATGAATGATGAATCTCCAGAAATAAAGGGGAGGTGTCATAGGGAGATTGTTTGACCTTGGGAGGCAGCACGGTGTTACATAAGTTTTTGGACTTGTAAGTCAGGAAGCTGGACGATAGTACATGCATCTCCTTGAGGGAGTTTTGTAACCTCGTCATTCAACCAGATTTCAGTTACATGGACTCTATCATAATTCTGATCATAGAATGGGTATGTACAAGATAAAGGCCAACAACTGCACAATTTTTTTTTTTAATTTTATTTTACCATAAAACCACATATTCGATGTTACCAAATACACAGAAATACTATTGCACTAAAATTTCCAAAAAAATAAATACTGATTCATTTCCACTAAAACTTGTAACATTTCATTCAGTGTTTTCTAACATTTTACTATTACCAGTAACCCAGATTTAAGTTTATTAATAGTAACTATCTAAAATATTGCACAGCTTTGGCAATTGCAATGATGGACAGAAACTTTGATAAGAAATTGTGTAGTGGTTGATCATGCAATTTACACAAACCAGCAGAACTACGTCTGATATTATACCTGATGACGTATCAAACATAATAAAAAAAACATTAAAGCTGGAAAAGCTGCCCTCTGGTGTTGGTTTATTGCTGTTAAAGTTTTGCAAATTGAATTTTCAAGCCAAATTATTGAGTATATCAACACTTATCTTTTTAAAAATCTAAAAATATAACTCTATATTACTAGAAAATATGTGAATAAATATGCTAATTACCCTAGATAATATTTTACTGAAATCTTTTTGGCAGACAATTATCCCTCTTACACTGTTGCAATAACAACCAGGATTAGTACAATATCAAGTTTTTTTTACAGTTTGGCTAAAGAAGTTTTGAAATTCAATACTCTGCAACAAAAGCATTCTCTTCATCTTTATAAATTTCACAATTCAAACTGAAATTAGAGTTTTCTATTGGCTGACTGAATAACAATGGAACAAACGACGTCTTTCATCACTATGCCCGTTAATTTGATTTTACTGCCATTGAAATTAATACAGATGAACTAAATGCCTTTGTTGAGTATATTGTTTAAGGCACTTGGTCACAATGACGCAGAAATGTATTCATTACAAACTATTCAACATTGAAATAAATAACTATTAAAAATATATCCAACACTAAATATGGTGTAGTGTAATTTTTTTTGCAATAACAAAACAGTATCGTAAAATCTGTATTAGAAGCAGAATCCCTAATAGAAGTCTAATATTCTTTTTAAAAAATTGAGAACCAAAAATTCATTGTTTCTCATATGTGTAGATGTTCTAATAGAAATCGCATCCCCTCTGTTGCATTGTACCATTTTAATAGAAGTCGCAGCTTCTAATACAGATTTTACAGTACATATCACAAGACCGACTTATTTCACTCGCTGTAGTCTCGTAGGGTACTTACAAAGCCTGTTTATACAATATTTGCTCTAATATGTCTGTTAACTGTAGACACTCCTTCTGGCCTAATGTTTTTTTTTCCCAGCATTTTTGCAAACGCATTATGGCTTTTTTGATTAAATCATTTTAGTTCAACAAAAAGCCATGAAGTTTTTGACATTAAGTCAGAAGGACTGTCAACACTATAAGATCTGCATCAGTAAATAGATATGCTTATATACCAAAAAAATTGTTATTTAAGGGGTTTTAAGTACACCTAACTCACATGAAACCGTAAGTGCTCTTTTTTTTTTTAACGCATCACTCAAACCACCAAACCACTCCATGAATAGCCGATATATATTGTATATAAGGGCATCAGGAGACAATGCATCAGTAACCGATCAAACACAGTATTTGTTATCAACAGTATGGAATCTTCACTATTGCCTTATAAGGACAAGACATGTTGATTGGTCAATAGCACAGATGTATGTAAATATGTGGCAAGGCACAGTGCTCCTAGTATAAATACAAATTTGTTGATATTAATTTTTTCTTTTTTTCAGGAAGCAAAGATTAATTTATTTGGATTTAATCTAATCAATTATCTCATTAAAATATAGATATCCATATATAGGAATTTGCTCTTTGAAGCCACCATTATTTTTAAATAAGTGTGGTCAATTGTATTCATTTTACAAAGGTTCACCAATCATATTGCTTAGATTTGTATTTCAAAACATTAAAAATATTGCACACAAAATTTCGCAATTATTATTAACAAGTAACGGGGCAGGGGGGTGATAAATAATCAAACCATATTTATTTCAAAACCCAGTTAATATAGAGTATACCCTTTCAGTCACAATAAATGTAAGTTATGCACTGATAGTCATTGCACAAAAATTCGAGGTATGTTAGAATTTTGTTTATATCATCAAAAAAATAGTATGAATATTTTTTCAACAACCAAAAGAAATTTAATCCTGAAAATAACAATTAACGAACACTTTATCTTGTGTTAAGTTGAACAGATACAGGTTCATACAAGTGTATTGACTTCACAAGACGTACACAAATGTGACTGCAAGGCCCAGAAAAAAACAAAAATAAGCTTTCTGGTCAATTTTCTTCTTCTAAAATTTATGTATGCATATATTTTTTTTCTAGACATACACGATGACACAAGAATATTTTTTTTACTGGGCCTAATCCATTTTTTTCTTTCCAAAAAATTTAACCCTTGAACAAAAAAAAACAAGAAAAAACAAGAACAAAAAATAAATAAATAAGAACAATGTTATATCGCATTCATGATCATGCAAGTATGGAATATAATTAGCCAATGAGCTTGTAGGAAACTAAATATAAAATACATGAATATATTATTTAGCACCTGCGTCCATTGGAGAATACCTAAAATTATGTAAATCAAGGTATATTTCAATTAAGGAAATGTAAACTTATCACGATTCATCACATCAGTAGAACCTAGACTTTAAATTGCATATCAAGGTCTTTTGATTTATACATCTCCACAATTACGTCAATATTTTTACCAAATAAAACTAAAAATTCCCTGAGATCGTCAAGTACTGCTTCTTCCTTTTCTCCCTGTGCCAATCCTTCTATAAAATCTTTGCGGTTTGGTACTGCTCGTGTGATAAGCTGCAATGAAAACAAAATGATGAATATGAAAAATTTAGATGTTATTTAGATTTATTTCCACATTCTTGGAATTTGCATTCGCTGTTTGGATGTTACCATGAATGAACCAGTGTAAACATGTTTGGCGGACATGTGCTTCACTATTTGTGATGTGCTTCTACTAGGTTATACAGCAAACGCAGCAATAAAATTAGAAAAAATTCCCAGACAGGTACTTACATTTGACCAGTAAGGATAGCACAAACAAGCAGCCTATCGGCTGAGATAGCTCCGCTGTTAACAATGCACATTTCAATTAAAGAACTGAAGACATCATTAGAAAATGAACAATATGTATAGTATCAAAGCAATCGGACTTACAGTTTTTAACAAGAAGTCGAAAATATCACTTTTTACCAAAAATTACAAAAATATTCACCAAAATTAGAGAATTGAAGACATCATCACAAAATGAACAAATCTGAGAGAGGTCCACATGTAGTACCTATATATGTAATATCAAAGCAATCGGACTTGTGGTTTTTAACAAGAAATCGAAAATATCACTTTTTACCAAAAATTACAAAAATATTCACCAAAATTAGAGAATTGAAGATATCATCACGAAATGAACAAATCTGAGAGAGGTTCACATGTATTACCTATATATGTAGTATCAAAGCAATTGGACTCGCGGTTTTTAACAAGAAGTCGAAAATATCACTTTTTACCAAAAATGATAAAAATATTCACCAAAATTAGAGAATTAAAGATATCATTACAAAATGAACAAATCTGAGAGAGGT